GGCTGGGGATTCGAACCCGCCACCTTAGGTGTATGTGGGTGGCGCCTTAGCTGCTTGAGCCACAGGCGCCAAGCCTACAATTCTTATTTTACTTTTTTACTAACAAAGTACCACTGTATGTTTATTAGTATTATCATTATACTTCTCACAGTTACCCAAATAATTTATAAAAGTTGAATTTTTAACTGGATTGTACTACATATGTTTCTAATTTTAATTTAATTTTTTTTTTTTTGAGATAGTCTCAAGCTGTCGCCCTGGGTAGAGTGCTGTGGCATCACAGCTCACGGCAACCTCCAACTCTTGGGCTTAAGCGATTCTCTTGCCTGAGCCTCTCAAGTAGCTGGGACTGCAAGCACCTGCCACAATGCCCAGCTATTTTTTGGTTGTAGTTGTCATTGTTGTTTGGCTGGCCTGGGCTAGATTCGAACCCGCCAGCTCAAGTATAGCTAGGGCTATCACCCTAGCCTCTGAGCCTTGAATTTAATTTTAAATTTATTTAGTAAGTGTAGATATTACAAGTAATGTGAAATAACAGATTTACATGTATAAATCATAATTGACCTGATTCTTTTGGGGGATGTTTTTTAATTCCAGTTTTTAAATATTTGGCTGAAAAATATCTTCAAAAACTTAAACAACAGGTAGCCGAGGACCCAGAACTAATGCATTCAAGTAGTAACAAAATCGGTAAGTACCCAGCAAATTTTAGCTCCTGTTTACTTGGTAAATTTGTTTTCCATTCATCATAAATATATTTTTATAATATACCTATATATTATATGCTCCTCTAAGAAATATGACTAAAAATGTTAAGTCAGTGATTATTAAACTCTCAAGTATCAAGTCTCTTGTTAAAAGGTATATTGAATTAAGATTTTATTTTTATGCCATTGAATTTTCTAAGTTCATTTGATTTGTTAAAGATAGCAGATATAAAAACTTTTTTTTTTCTGAGACAGAGTTTCACTGTATCGCCCTCAGTAGAGTGCTGTGGTGTCACAGCTCACAACAACCTCCAACTCCTGAGCTTAGGCGATTCTCTTGCCTCAGCTTCCTGAGTAGCTGGGACTACAGGCGCCCACCACAACGCCCCACTATTATTTTTGTTGCAGTTTGGCTGGGGCGGGTTTGAACCCACCACCCTCAGTATATGGGGCCAGTGCCCTACCCACTGAGCCACAGGCACCACCCCCAGATATAAAAACTTTTTATAAAGGTTTGTCCTTTATGTAAAGGAGCTTTATAGCACTAGTCCTTCTCAGTTTGTGTTGGTACTAATTCATACCTTTTCCCTTTCCTACTGTCTTGCTTATTACCTGTTAGCGATTTCTCTTTCTAATGTTAAGTGCCAGCAGAACTTAGCATTCCCTGAAGCACTGGTGTGTTGTCTTCTCTGTCACAGTGACTGACTGGCTACTTCTCCCTATTTGCTTTGCTTCCAGGAATCTGAGGGCCAGATGTGCTGGTTCTGAGTCTTCTGTGTAATCACTTCATATCTGTATTCCATCCTCCTCACTACATCAGATCAATATACACGTAATATTTTTTGTACCTGTTTTAACTTAGATTTTTTTCCTGGGTTCTGGCTTCTTTTTTCTTACTTTGCCATTTTTATTGCATCACTTCCTACATCAGACACCTCACGTACTTTGTAAAACAGCAGAGGATACTTGCAGTAAGCCTTTACCTGGTCCAGTCTCCTTGGTCCCACTCCTGTCTGCTTCCAGTCTACTGATAAAGCTCTTCTATGGGGCAAAGTAAATGCAGATTCTCTCCATTCCAACATTTAAAAACACTTTGTCCATGCTTCCTGCAGCCTTGGGCCTCAGTCCTCACTGTTCCCTACTTGGTCTGCTGGTTTTCTCCGAGGTCTTAATCTTTCCTGAGCATACTCCATGTTTGATTACTTCTTCACTTTGACTCATTTTGTTCCTTCTATTGAGAATGACCTCTCCTTCCCATCTTCTGTCAAAGAACTATTTGTTTCTCAAGGACTATCTTGAAAGTTCTCTGAACTGTATATCTGGCTCAAGCTACAGCCTCCATGCTCTTCTAAAACAATAGGGATCTAAGTCCAGGGCATTGCCAAGTGCCCAGTTCTACCCTCTTCAGTAGTTTTTCCTTTCTTATGAACTAGACAGTTAGTCCTTCCTTCGAAATCATCTATAGGATCTTATGTGTCTCTCTTTCTCTCTTTTTTTTTTTTTTTTGGAGACAGAGTCTCACTTTGTGACCCTGGGTAGAGTGCTATGGCCTCATAGCTCACAGCAAGCTCAAACTCTTAGGTTTGATCCTCTTGCCTCAACCTCCAAATAGCTGGGACTACAGGTACCTGTCACAAAGCCTGGCTAGTTTTTCTACTTTTAGTAGAGGTGGGGTCTTGCTCTTGCTCAGGCTGGTCTTGAGCCCCTGAGCTCAGGCAGTCCACCCACCTTGGCCTCCTAGAGTACTGGGATTACAGATGTGAGCCACTGCTCCTGGCCTGGCCTCTTGTGTCTGTTTTATGACACACTTTACAATGCCATATAGTGTTACTTGTTTAGTGTCTTGTCTCACTAGATTATAAACTTCGTATGGGTAAGAATTAATCATAATCATCTTTGTATCCCTGATAGTATCTCCGGTTCAAAGTTTTGGGTATTATGGTTGCTAAATAATTCATAAATTGAAGATTACGTTTTTGCAAATAGTATAGTTCAAAGTGGAAACTATAATAGTAAAGTTTTTCTTTAGTTCCTCTCCCTTAGCTACCTGTCACTTGATCTGCAGACCACTTTTTTTTGTTGTTGCTAGCCAATGCAGGAAGACCACATTTTTATTCTTTTGAGACAAGAGTCTCCTGTTGCCCAGGCTAGAGTGCTGTGGCATCAGCTTAGCTCAGAGCAACCTCAAACTCCTGGGTTCAAACGATCCTCCTTCCTCAGCCTCCAGAGTAGCTGTGACTGCAGGCACCCACCACAATGCCCAGCTAATTTTTCTATTTATTAGCAGAGACAGGGTCTTACCCTTGCTCAGGCTGGTCTTAAACTCCTGAAGTTCCAGTGATCCTCCCACCTTGGCCTCCCAGAGTGCTAGGATTATGGGCATGAGCCACAAACACAAAAGACCACTTTTTTGTTGTTGTCTTAGCCTATGTAGGAAAAGGTTCTACCAGCTTTTACATATGCAATGTTTTTATTAACATAAAATTTCACAAATACTGTTAAGTATAAGTTAGGTATTCTTTTATGAAATTATATGATGTAAAGTCAATGAGTTATTAAAATTATCATACTGACTCCAAATTTCAAAACTAGACAGTGAAAAAAATAGACAGTGAAAAGATGCAGAACAATGTGTAGAATATGCTATAGTTTGAGTAGAAAAGGGAGGGAAAAAGAATATACCGGGGGGGGGGGCAGTGCCTGTGGCTCACGGAGTAGGGAACTGGCCCATATGCTGAGGGTGGTGGGTTCAAACCCAGCCCTGGTCAAAAAACTGCAAAAAAAAAAAAAAAAAAAGAAAGAAAGAAAAAGAATACACAGAGGGTATCAAAAAATATGTACATATTTGAAGAGAGGAAAAAACTGTACTAAAGTTATAATACTAAAGTCACCTTTGAGTTGTATTCTTCCTTTGTTATTTGGCATATATTGAGTATTACAATTTTAATGCAGCCTTTTCCTTTCTTAAAATGTGAATTTTTTTTTGGCACCCTCTGTATGATTAATTTTGCCTATAAATGTATCGAATATTTCTGGAAGCACATGTAGAAAAACTAGTAACATATTTGCCTTAGGGAAGGAAAACTGGTAAGGGGGAGGGAAGGATTAGGGTGAAAAGTACACTTTAATGTGACTTTTGTACCCTCTGAATTTTGTACCATGGACATTAGCTATTAAAAATGAAATGAAAACAAGCTTTACAGTTGTCAATACTTAGGTATCTATTGATGTATGAACAGATAAGCAAAATATATACACATACAGTGGATTATTAGTCATCCTTTAAAAAGAAGGAAATTCTGTAGTACACTACATGGATGAAACGTAAAGTCATACTGAGTAAAAGTCACAAAAATACACGGTATGGATCGGGTGTAGTAGCTCACGCCTTAATCCCAGCACTCTGAGAGGCTGAGGCTGGTGGATTGCCTGTGCTCATGAGTTGGAGACCAGCCTAAGCCAGAGCAAGACCTTTGTCTCTGAAAGTAGCTAGGCAGGCTCGATGCCTGTGGCTCAAGTGGCTAAGGTGCCAGCCACATACACCTAAGCTGGCGGGTTCGAATCCAGCCCAGGCCCACCAAACAACATGACGGCCGCAACCAAAAAATAGCCGCGCATTGTAGCAGGCGCCTGTAGTCCCAGCTACTTGGGAGGCGGAGGCAGGAGACTCGCTTGAGCCCAGGAGTTGGAGGTTGTTGTGAGCTGCGATGCCATAGCACTTCAACCCAGGATGATAGCTTGAGGCTCTGTCTCCAAAAAAACCACAAAAAATAGCTAGGCATTGTGGTAGGCATCTGTAGTCTCAGCTACTCAGGAGGCTGAGACAAAAGGTTCACTTGAGCCCAAGAGTTGGAGGTTGCTGTGAGCTATGACACCATAGTGTTCTGTCAAAGGTAACAACATGAGACTTTTGTCTCAAAAAATATATATATAAATATGGTATGATTCCATATATGAGGTAGAGTTATTGAAAATCAGAAAGACAGGAAATAGAATGGTGGTTACGAGGGCCTGGAGGGAGGAGGAATGGGGACTTCTTGATTAATGGGTATAGAGTTTCAGTTTTAAAGATGAAAAAAGTTATGAAAATGGATGGTGGTGATTGTTGTATAACATTTTGAATGTATTTAATACTGATGAACTGTATGCTTAAAAGTGGTCAGGATGGTAAATTTTGTTGTATTTTACCTTGGTAAAAAAAAAGAAAAAAGTTTATAAGTATAGTAGAGCCTCTGTAAATTGACCACCCAAGGGACTGTAACAGACTGGCAACATAAGGAACTAGGCCTACCGTACTGACATGTACATGTGGTATAGGTCTAGTCTGTGAAGATTACGTCAGCTGACAGCAGTGGTCAGTGTAAAGAAAAGTCAACCATGGAAGTTCTACTGTACTTGAAAATATTACTGATTTTACTAACAAGTTGCATGCAACACACGGTTCTGAGGAGTATCACTGTCAATCTCTGTGTTCTCCCTCAATTTATACAGGTGTCTTTAATACATCTGGTGGAAGTCACTTGGGTCAGAATTCAAATACTCTTAATGGTGGAGATGTCATCAATCTTAGACCCAACAAACAAAGGACCAAGAAAAACAGAAATCCCTTTAGCAGCTGTAGCATACCCTAAAATGTTTTAGGGAAGAAAAATGTTGAATTCTATTGTGCAATTCACAAGAAACCCATCTGGCTGTCATGGTATGTTATAAGATTTTTAGAAGACTTTGCACCTAATGCATCTCTGAGAGTGGACAGACTTAAATACTGCTCTGCAATGCTTTTTGGGATGTGAAGTGAGACCTCTGGTGGAAAAAATACTGCCCTATGGACTTATTTTTTTTACTTTAGACAGAGCTTCTCCTATTTTTTAGGGATTGCTGTAAGAAATGTCAAAAACATTTTACTGAATTTTTAATGCTGGAACACACATTGAAATGCCTAAATACATTGGTACAAATTTTAATATTATAGATCAAGGAAAGATAATAAGCATTCCTTTTCTGAAATTGGTCATCTGACTTTTCTGGAAACTAGTATTGGATCTGAATACTTACAACAAATAATGCTGGAGTGTGTATTTTGGCAATGTTACTTGTGCAATACCTGTATAATGTAGAATGTGGAGGTGTGCATGCAGATATCTGGTACTGGAGTCAGCTGAAAGTATGTGCAGTATTTAAGGAAAAGTAGATGCTAATTAATTCATTTGTAAAACCATTTACACATTGCATATATGTTTTTATTTTCAAATGAGAGATTCCAGACATATATTTTACAAAATAAGCTTGGATTTAACAAGTGCTTTGTGCCAAAAATACCATACCTAATTTTTATAGTGCTTTACTATCAGAATTTATATCATTTATAATCTTTAAAAAGTAGTTTTCCTTTCTGATAGGGTAGATAAAAGAGGAGTGAAAACATTTCATGCTAGAGCTTCTCCTAGGTGAGACTTTTTCACGTGGCTACCCTTAAGCATAGTGAGCTCTTGTCTTCAGGTCCCAAAGTCCCAAAGAAGGTATGCAGAACGCCTGTGGTTATTCCAGGGGTCCTAGTAAGTGTGGTAGAGCACGCTTTGCTGTTGAGAACCTAACTTGGAACTCACAAGACTATCCTAACCATTTCTTAAAAAGGCATAAAATATGATTAGCCCTAATCCAAATTATGTATTTTATAACACCCTGTAACTCTAAAGCATCCTTTTGTGTACACATTTTTATATGGTATTTTAAGATTATCACTTAAAATTTCTATAATCTTCAGTTTGTATACCATTTTCTCAAGAAGTCTGTTAGCATCACATACGTAGTAATCTTAGAAATGTTATGTAATCATACATCAAAGCATAAACCTGAGTTGGACAGTTGCTTTCCAACTAAAATAATTGCATGAACTCAGTTAAAGCTGATTATCATTCATCAGTGGCTTTGTTTTTAACCTATAAATAATTCCTTTAAAAATACCTGGTTTTTACAGGATTTCAAAATACATAAAGATAACTTTTCTTGGAAAATGTGTCATGAAGCCATTTTTCATTATCTGTACTAGGTGTTCTATATATTCCTCTTTTATCTTTTTTTTAAATGTCTTCCATCTGTATCATCCTCCTGCCCAGATTAATGTTGAAAACATAATCAAATTTCCTGGAGTGTGTCCTTGTTAAATGGTCAAGAGTAAATGTTCACGTCTCATAATATTGGGATCAACCTGGTACTTTCTATTTCCAAGTAATGTATGTCACCAGTTGTTACCACTCTCATTGCTGACAGTGGGATAGGTGATTGGGGAAAAACTCAGTTTTAACTAGTGGAGACCTAGTAGTGATTCATCTTTTCTACTCTCTTGAAATACAGTCTCTTTAATTTTTACAGAAAGTATATTTTACAGTAAATACAGTCCTTATTAGCAGAAAAGTCATTATGTAATGTGTCGTCTTAACTGTGTGTGGGAAAAAGTGTGTTACTTTGCTGTATAAGAAATGTCATTTCTGATGGTTGCGGTTCCCTTATATTTGTAATGTAATTGTATGTAGTTTTATTCTTTTTTTTCAACACTGAGTCTCGCTCTGTCACCCCAGGTAGAGTAGAATGGCGTCATCATAACTCACTGCAACCTCAAACTTCTGGGCCCAAGCGATCCTCCTGCCTTTATCCTTCTACTAGAGTAAGAACTGAGAAATGTTTGTTGTGCATTTTAAGTTTTAATTCGCCTGATAATCAGCCACCAGTGATAGGTCAGCTTCTCAGTTTCTAAAGTTTAAAAAAATTACAAAATAAATTTACTAGTAGTATCTATTGAGTCCACATATAGAAAAACTTACCAAAGAAAAACTTACCCAGGATTCCAGGTTAGTGTGCATTTGTGCTCCAATCTCCTTTTTTACCTTATGTCTGACTTTTCTCACACAGACATACAGCTGTGGAGTAGTTGGCATATTTCAGAGTTCCTCAAGTTTCCCTTTTCCTTTTTATGCCTATGAATTGAATAGTCTGGCAGGGGTGTCTAACCTTTTTTTTTTCTGTTGCACCTTGGAAAAAGAGTTGTCTTGGGCCACACATTAAATACATAAACACTAATGCCAGCTGATGACCCTATAAAAGGTCTGTGCAGAATTTTTGTGATATCTAACACCACAAATAAATAAAACCATCCTCACATAATGTGCAGGTGGCCCGTGGGCCACAGGTTGGACATCCCTGGCAGAATAACTCACATAATGTAGTGGAGTCAAGTAAAACCAGGTTAAATAACTTTTTATCAGTCCAAAGTTGGTAACACACACATACTATTTCAAAATAAGATAAAGCTAACACTACCAAAAAGAAGATAAATGCCTTTCCTCCTTGTGGAGTGAAGTTAGATGGTCGTTTCAGAAGTTAGCAGAGCAGTGCTTAGAACCCTTGTAACATGTACTGCATTGTACCTGTGACTTTCAGGAACTGAGGCCTTTTCTGAAAATCCTAGAGTGCAGACTTGGCCTTAAAACCTAATGTCTCAACTTACAGTGCTATACTCTCCTAATGTAAGGTCTTGTTATGAAAGAGTTACTGGTCACCAGCTGAAATGCTCTAATTAATGTATCAATAGTGTTTCTCTTTGAAAACAAAATGGACTGATGGGGTGGAAGCTTGTCCCACATGACACCTATCTAATAAACAAGTAGATTTATTCAGTTTTAGTTATTAGGTATGGATGTCATGTGCATTATTTATCCTTTAGGTTTTCACCTGTATAATGTGCAAATCTATCACACAAGTGAATTTGCTAGCAGAAAATATTTAAAACCACATTGGACTCTGAAATACCCAATCCCCAAACTGCTGGGTAACTGGACTGTAATAATCTTTATTAGGTAGTGCTCCCTTTTCTTCTTGGTTTTGAAATATCGAGGTATATAGTCGGATGTTAGTAAATGATCTTTTAAAATTAAAACTTTGAATTTTAAGGAAAACTGAACCCCTTCTATATTTTTGTTACTAATAATGCTTTTGTAAATTTAAATGGAAAACCACTCATATGTATTGATAGTGGTTATGGTTTCAAGAGTAATTTAAAAACACTTGATAAAAATTTCATGGAACATGAATTCTAATAATCAAAAAATAAATGCATTTTAAAGCTGGACTGTTGTATGATGTGATTGGTGTCACCAGTGTGAAACTAAATAGTAAAAGGTATAAAATGTGACTATTCTAGAAATTTTTTTTCTTGTTTAGGGGATTTTGGGCCCCAAATTAAAACATTTGCCTTTACATTCTATTATAGATATAGAATAATGGTATAGTTCTAATTCCTGTAATACATGCTTTCCAAGTGTCAGCACCTGGCACCCAGAGTCTTTACGCTTTGTATCTTGAAGGAGCATTATTACCTTAATTTCATAGCTTAGGAGGCCAGGGACTTAGGTTAAATTTCATGTCTTCGGGGCCTCTGCTGGTAAGTGGTGGGGTTGGGAGCTCCTGCCACGTCTTCCTGCACCGGTGCTTACCCCAGCGGTTTTGTGCCTCTGAGTGTCTTCTGTATTTTGTCCCAGGGCTTACAGGTTGTAGCATCTTCAGACAACTGAGGTGTAATGATTACATTAGGAGACGTATTTATAATACTCCGCTAAATCTGTTTTCCAACCTGACACCCTTCATCAAACTTGTGCAGAAACCGTGCCCACCTCAACATGTTCTAGTCATCCCTGGAAGACTGTATGTTAAAGCTGGAATAGTTAGTGAAATCAACCCTAGTGGTTTGTACACACACTGTATGCAAGGGGAGTATATCTGCAATAATATTTAGTAGTCTGAGGTAATTAAAAGCTGGTATGATCTAGTTCAAGTTGTTTACTCTTAGTTCATGACTGAAAATTTAAGAATGTGGTCATGTCCCTCAGCAGAATGTCCATTTTCATTCTGCCTGCTTGTTACACGAGTAGACATACAAAATAAGAGAATGGCTAAGCTCGAGCTCACTGTGTCCTTGTTTCCTTTTCTTTTCCAAGGGTCTTAGCTCCTTTACTTTCATTTGTCTTTGAAAAACTATAAAATCCAGCCTTCAAAAATAGCAATAAATGATGTATCTTCCAATGTATCAGCCTTTATCACATCATCAGTCATTTGAAAGGAACAGAAAATACATGGATGTGTCCCTTATTAAAAATCATTGCATGTTTTTTATTTTACCAAATCCTTACTCTGCTGTTTCCGGTGGTTAATTTTTTTCATGCTTTCCAATTTTAAAATGTTGAAGCAGAATTCTTCCTTAGTTGATCACCAAAAGGTTTGGGGGGTGGCCCTTAAGCACTGAGTCAGGGTGCTGGATCAGCCCCTTCAGTGCAAAAGACTACCGCTGTACCTTTGTGTCCCTGTGCTTGATCCCTCATTTGGCTAATGTTTTATTAAAGAGAAAACAATGTGAATGGTGCCCCCTGGAGGAAGGAGGCACCACCGGAAGCTGCCAGTTTTCCCCTTCTCGCCCCACAAAGCTTTAGGGATTTTTTTTAATGTCTGGGGTTCCTAAATGAATAACCACAGGAGCACTTCTCTGTCTGTCATACTTGTAGCTGGGAGGGACGAACTCTGAGTCCACTTCTGGTCAACTTGTTGCAGTCCTGCTAGCTATCTAGCCTGTCCTTAAAGGTGAAGGCAGAAAAGCAGGCTTGCCAGGAGAAAAACCAGCACAGGAAGGCTGCTGGGAAGCAGCGCTAACAAGGATGGCAGGAGGTCCATCCTAAAACCATGTTACATTCTAGGAATGTACACGATTGGGACAGGGCAAAACATAATCTAAATACCCTTATCTATCACCTACGTGAGAAACGACAGTAAATGAAAGTAAAACACGATGCTTGGGAAATTCATCACTTGAAAATTAAACTCCCATTCTTAGGAATAAAGATACATGTTAAGGAGCAACACATGAAGTTCCCTGCCCCGGGATGTGGCCCAAACTGGATACAGAGGCCTGAAGACAGTGCAGACCAGGAACCCCAAGCAGCTTGGAGACTTAGAGACGGTGGATCACGGCATTTCAAGTCTGGGATAAAAAGTCCATTGCAAAAAAATGGGAAAGGAACAATGCCAAGAAGCAAAGGCAGAATAATTGTAATAGGAAAAGTCCTGGGCTGGTGTGGAATGGAAGGCAAAGGGGTGTACATGGCATTTCCCAGAGTGGAAGGGATTTATAGACACGGGTGATACTTGAGAACCTAAGGAAAACTTGATTGTCCATTTTGTAATTTTCAGAAATCTGGTTAATAAAAACAGATGACTCAGCAAACAGTCATCTGACAGTGAGCCTGATGGCAGCAAATCAGAGTCTGACAAACCCAGAGGCTTTGCCACAGACAGAATTAACATTTCTCATGAAATCCAAAGATCTAAATGAGACAGAGGTGGGGCTTGCAAAGGAAGTAACCATGAATAGTCTTAGATTGTAATTGCTTTTTATAAATAGGAACTAACTTGGCACTTTGGTACAGAAAACGAAGCTCAATATTGTTTGCATTGAGATGTATATAAAAGCAATCTGGATCTTGATTTTGTTTTTCAGTGTAAAGAAACACCTACATGCTAATAAAAATTACACTGGACATACTCACTTCAAAATAGTATTTGGGGAAGATGTTTGAGGTTCTTGAGCAGCAACAGCGCTAGTTAACGGTGAACAGATTAACTGTTCTATAGTTTCGTCAGCGTAGATAAAAATAAATATACTAGTCACCCTTTTTAGTAAATAAAATACAACTAAGGTTTTATATCTAATGTTAGATAAAATTTAATGCTCAATACTGTTAAGGTTTCAGTGAAGGAGCTATAATTTGTGACGAAAGTAAAAGCTAATATACTTTTGTACAAAAGAATTTTGAAATATGTATAAGGCCATGAAAATGTATATACCCTTTGACTCAACAAGCCCACTGCTGGGAATTTATAGAAAGAAAATAAACAAAGACAAAAAAGGGGGGAAAAAAACCCAATATACATAAATATATTGCAGTAATGGCAACACCCTGAACATTCAGTAAGGGGAATGGATACATAAAGTATGATGTAATTACACAAAGTAGAGCTTTTTTAAGTTGACAAGCAGACTTTATGGCAGTGTTTAACTTAAAAAGGCAAGTTATAATACTGAAATTTCAGAGAACGCATCTGAGAAAAGATGAAGTTGATATGTAATTGTTCACAGTGGTAAAATTATAAGTGATTTTCTTACATTTTATGTTACGTATGTCAAAAACACATTCATATTATGAGATGCATAAATCTCTGAAGTGACTGCTGAATGAGAGAACAGAGAAAAGGTTTGTGTTTTGTGATTTCTTTTACCCTTCTAAGCACAGTGTTTTGTTAACACAACGTGGACAGTAAGTATACGTGCTGCTTAAGGTGTTCCTAGTCAACTTAAATGCCCCAGGTGAATGTGTTTCCACACCCGAGAAAAGACCGAGAAAGAGCAGGGACCCGTCTGCTCCTCACTGGGCACTTACTTTTCCTCATAGGCTATGTATTCATCCACAGAATAGTTAAGTATATAAAATGTGCTAGATCCTAGTACAAGACAAGAATTCAGTCTAAAAAGTTTAGATAATTAAAATATGTCTAGTTTTGGGAGGCGCCTTTGGCTCAAAGGAGTAGGGCGCCAGCCCCATATGCTGGAGGTGGCAGGTGCAAACCCAGCCCTGTCCAAAAACTGCAAAAAAAAAAAAAAAAAAATTATAGTTTTGTCATTCACAAAACTGATGACGCTGGATGGAATATTTTTCTCATCTAAATAACAACTGTCAGTATCAAACAAGTGGTTATGCCCAACGTAAAGAACTAGTTATCACTTATCATTTCTACATCATTATTTGTTAAGTGCAGGGTTGAACACTAATTAAATCTGCTTTCGGCATTTTGTTGCAGAGTTTTGGAACCAGCTCCTTTAGAGTGCTCTAATAGTTTGATGGCTGTATCAGAGTTTTCAATATTTCTAAGTAGAGTCTCTAATCTTCTTTTAATTTTCTTCTGGTCTTCAAGAGCACATCCAATTACTATGGACTGAAACTTCTGATCCACTGGCCCGGACGGCACCTCAGATGAACATGCACTGTAGAGCGACTTTAAATGACTCTTGGCATTTCCCACATCATCCAGAAACTTACTGACCACCTCATCGATAATCCTCGTGGCATGCTTTAGGGATTCTTGCTGCTGGGGGTTTCTAATTGTTTCTACTGAAACTTCAACAGTCAGAGTTCGTCCCATTAAACGGTTTGCAGTCAGATTTAATTCTTCTCTTTCTCCTAAACATAAAAAGTTTTAAAATACCCATCAGTATGAGACATAAACTAACCTAATCTAAGTCAAGAACACGAAGGCAATCATTTGTGGGTAAATATTTTCTGTAATTACATCTGCTATGAAAAGCTCGAACTGTAGCATATAAGCTTAGCTGATGAAGTGTAGGAGCAGTACACCACCAAGAGCCAACTTCACACTCAGGAGAAAACGCTACACCACCTCCTCCTCGTGGTTTTTGGTGTGCTACACATTCAGAGAGACTTCTCTAGTAACAAACTATAGAAATGGTCCCTGAAAGTATAGTCTTAAGATGAAGGGTATTAGGTTACAGAGAAGGGTAGTAGAATACCTACCTTTCCCTGAAAATCTTTAGAAATGGGGCACCAGGTGACTGCTCCAGTCATTACGTCTGCACAAGTGTGGGCAGGTGTGCATTTGGGATGGAGATCAGTTCGTAACAGGGTGAACAGTAAGCACAGAGTTTGTGCTGGGGAGACGCTACAGAAATCAGATGTCCCAGATCTCTTCATAAAGACGTGTTTTTATCAGGATACGTTGCCCCAAATTTAGGCTGAGAAAATGTAGCTTTGATAGTAGAAGATAAGACGGCCACAAAATTAGGCACTGACTTCATCTCTGTCATATAGATTTAAGCAGGCCAGTGGTTTAAGTCCTGGCAAGCACAAGGAGGCAATGATGGTAAAAATAATTCTGTCTACATACCACTACCTATATGAAAAGGTCAGCAATCTCCTGTGGGTCCTTTTCCCTAACTTACTTCCTAATTGATCTTTGGCCAGGATGGTGAAGACACAGACTAGATGACGACTGCTGTGGCTGTGTAGCAGTTTTGGTCCGGGATTAGACTGCCCACTTATCTCACCGGCTGCCTGGCCCACTAGCTTATCCCATGGAGCACCAAAGTTGCCCAATTAGGAAGTCCAAAGCCAGTGAAAGAGAGTGATTAGTCATGCTCTTCCTATGAAAATGAGAGCACATTTTGACATTGACGGCTTTTATTGGTCCCATTAATTTACCTTGTTCTCTCCGCATTTTCTCCTTTTCCTCTCTTTACGTTATACCTCAATCCATCTTCTTTTGCCTTTACTTCTCTCCTTTCACTCCCTCAGCTTCCCCTTCGTTTTTTTTCCCTTTTGTATCTCTTGCACTCCAATAACTTGTAAAGAACTGAAGTCAGGCATGTGAACCTGAAGTAAATCGCAGGGCCTTAGTGCTTGGGGCTAGCTCTCCGGAGCTAGCAGGCCTTTCCCTATGGCTCCAGCCGTGGCCTGGGGGTTGGGAGAAAGAAGGATCTCTGGGAAGGCAGTTGCTGTAATGAACTGACAGCTGCAGCTGTTCTCTGCGACTCACGTTAAATGCTGAAGTGTAGAGTACACACGTACTCCAAGCCAACAAAAACTGACCCACACTTATCATAAATGCCTGAAAAGGGCATAAAAGACCAGTTCCCGACTGGAAACGGCGCTCACCGTCGCTGATCTGCCTCATGTCCTGGCTGTTCTGGATGCTGTGGATCATCTCCAGGAGGATTTCCTTCTCTTGCTCAACAGCAGTTGCTGCTTCTCTCAAAGCTTCAACCCTACAGAAATCGGGAAAACAGCTGTTACATGGAGGATGTTCTTCCCATTAATTTTCTTCATCTTCCTTGAATCCAACTCCAGTTTAATGATTATGAGGAACACTTTTTAAAAATTCTCAGTTTTCTATTCCTTTTTGAATCCACTTTGCCTCACTCCCATTTTCCTCCCTGCCATAAGGTAGACATTCTACTTAGTGTTTATGTTTTTGTGTTTGTTCTTACAAAATCTGTATAGTACATGTATTTTAAATTTCTATTTCATTCTGGGTTTTTTCACTTATTTTATCGAGCCCATCCAGATTCCTATGTGCACATCTAATCAGATGCTTCCCATGGCTGAATAAGATTCCCTGTGTACCCCCTCTCTCCCAGGGATGGACACGCATCCATCAGCTTCTTGTTATAAAAAATAACATTTGAATGAATACATGTCCACTTACAGACCTGGGTAAGAACTTCTGTTGGGATATGTGAGCACACAGGATGGATGCACCCTGAATCTGACATAACTGTTCTCCAGAATGGCCGTACCAGTCCACTCTCCACAGCAAAGGAGTCTCCACATCCCCACATCCCTGCCAATATTCAGCATATTCTGCATCTTCCAACTAACTTTCTTTCTTTTTATTTTCTTTGAGACTTTATTGGCCCTTGGTAGAGTGCTGGGGCATCACAGCTCACAGCAACCTCCAACTCTTGGGCTTAGGCAATTCTCTTGCCTTAGCCTCCCAAGTAGCTGGGACTACAGGCACCCACAACAACGCCTGGCTATTTTTTGTTGCAGTTTGGCCAGGGCTGGGGTTCAAACCCGCCACCTTTGGTATATGGGGTCCATGCCCTGCCCACTGAGCCACAAGTGGCACGCCAACTTTCTTTTTGTTGCCCGTCCAACAGATGTACACTGATACGTCAGTTTTAATCTGCAGTTTTCTTTCTTTCTTTTTTTTTTTATTGTTGGGGATTCACTGAAATTTTGCATTGTTCCGGAGGCGCCTCTGGCTCAGTGGGTAGGGCATCAGCCCCATATACCGAGGGTGGCAGATTCAAACCCGGTCCTGGCCAAACTGCCAACAAAAAAATAGCCAGGCATAGTGGTGGGTGCCTGTAGTCCCAGCTACTTGGGAGGCTGAGGCAAGAGAATCACCTGAGCCCAAGAGCTGGAGGTTGCTCTGAGCTACGTGATGCCAGGCCACTCTACCGAGAGTGACAAAGTGAGACTGTCTCTAAAATAAAAAGAAACCCCCCCCCCAAAATAAAGAAAATTTGCATTTTTCATTAGTAAAAATTTTGGTCAATTCTGTATTCTTGTTAGCCTGTTTATGACTTTTCCTATTTTTTTTTTTGTTTAAACAGGCGTGACCATCCTTTTATTAATTTTCATATTCAAGATATTAATTCCTTATTGGTTACAGACACTGCAACCGTCTGTCATCATGTATGGACTCTGGGATGTCCTTCACTCAACAGAGAACCTCGATGGACGTGATCACATTCATCTCTGTGGGGCCTTATGTTTTATGCTTTTGAAGTCTGACTTTGGGGTCTTCCTCACCCTGTCTCATGAGATATTTGCCTGCATTTTCTTCTGTTAACTTTATAGTTTTACCTTTCTCATATTTATTTCTCTCCCACAGCCCATCCACATATGTAAAACTTTGTTTTATTTTTCTCCAAATAGTAAGCCATTTTCCTCAATGATCTATGTATTAAATTTGCCTCTAAAATCGCTATTACATATATTTACATATAACAGTTTGTATACCAATACTTTTTAATAGCAATGGCCTTGTACTATTTCTTAATAAAGTAGCCCTTTACCTTCTTTTTTTTGCTGGGCTGGGTTTGAACTCACCACCTCCAGTATATGGGGCCGGTTCCCTACTCCTCTGAGCCACAGGTGCCGCCCACCCCTTATCTTCCTTAAAGATAGCCTAGGCTCGGTGCCTGGTAGCTCAGTGAGTAGGGTGCTGGCCACATATAACAAAGCTGGCGGGTTTGAGCCTGGCCTGGGGCCTGCTAAACAACAATGACAATGACAACAAAAAAAAATAGCCAGGTGTTGGGGCGGGCACCTGTAGTCCCAGATACTTGGGAGGCTGAGGCAAGAGAACCACATAAGCCTAAGAGTTGGAGGTTGCTGTGAGCTGTGATGCTACAGCACTCTACTGGGGGTGACATAGTGAGACTCTGTCTCAAAAAATATATAAAAATAAAAAGTAAAGATAACCTAGCTCTTTATGGACCTTCATTTCCCCCCCCCCAATTAAACTCTAGAGTAAGTTTATAGGATTTCTTAAAAAATTAAAAAATTGGGAGAAATATGGTATCCTTCCAATATTGCCATTCTATCCACCAGGCAGGATGTATCTCATTACTGTAGACTTAGAGTTTTAAAGTAATCTTCATAGTAGTCTTGTGGTCTCTTGAGTATTCTGGATACTTTGTGGATATTATTACATTTCTAATCTGTTATTGATGGTTTGAGAAATTCTCTTTTTGTAGGTCCATCTTCTAAATGCCAACTTTGATTTTCACTCACTCATTTTAATGGTCAGGCTCTTGATGACCCTATCACCTATAATAGTTTTTAATCTCTTCATTTCTAATCTGACACCTCTTATTTTTTTCTCTTTAAGGTTCTCCAGTGCAATATTAATCGTGGCAATGATGGGGGCATTTTTTACTTTTCTCAAATTCAAAGAAAAGCTTCTGTAAAGCTTCTTTATACCAAAAAAGCCCTGATCAAACTATCAAAGCACTACTGCTTTGTCCACCCCTCACTGCACATGGACCTCAACACGCCCAGTCACTGAATGAGGCTGTACAATCATGAGAGCAAAAGGAAAAAAATCTTGTATATTTAAAGTGCTGTATTTCCAGGGCACTTTCTTATTATTGATCACAATAGCTAAATTGACAACTTTTACAAATGAAATAGTGACAGACCCGTCCCCAGTTATTTGGATGATCCTAGACATACAAGATCATGAAAGATCTAATCCTGATTCCTGTAAGCACAGAAGGCACAAGCTCACCAATGTTTCTGAACATATCGATTCCATAAAAGGATCCACCGTCCTCACTGCAACTACACATACGCCTTTTCCCCTTCCATCACCCACCTGTTACAACCCAAAATAGCACCGATAAGCTGTAAGATCACAGCATGGCTTTATTCTTCAAGACATTAGATATATGTTGAACTCTGTGTTTCTAAGAGCCAGTAAAAAACAAAAAGAAGCTTACGTGACAAATTTGGCTAAAGAATACCATTCAATACGATGTTCTGCAAAGCTGTAGTAGTGCTATCGCAGGCCCTCTTCCAGGTACCTTTCACCATTTACTTGAACATTTTATATTAGCAAACTCTCAAACTAGGGCCCAGAACACATCAAAGAGACTGAGTTAGCGCTAATATGAAATATTTATGCTAAAAACACAAACCATGACTCTAGGATTTAGATAAATGGTACAGATGAATCATGTGATTGGCAAATGAGAAGATGCTGAAAGAAGAGATTAATTTTTCAACAACTGTGTCCAACTGTAAGACTATAAAGAGAACTGAAGGCTGTTGTCCTTTAAGAGGGTTTCATTTACCACAAGGAGTTACAACAGGAAGTTTATGGAGCTGTTAGCAAAATAGATTAGAGGGAAACTTGCTAGAAAAAAATAGAATAGAAAACCTGTCATAAGAAGAAGATATTCTGTCATTCAAGGAGACCAAATAAAATTAGATGGAACTTCTAAGTTTTGTGTTCTGGGTTTTCTTCCCCCCCCCCCAAGGGCTTTTTTATACATAATAGAAAACATTTTATTTTTATTTATTTATTTATTTATTGTTTAGCAGGGCCCGGCCAGGCTTGAACCTACCAGCCCCAGTGCCTGGGGCCAGCGCTCTAACCACACTGAGCATGGGTGCCCAGCCAACATTTCATTTTTTTTATAGAACTTGAAGTATATATTTTTATGTATACCTTTTTCAATTCATTGTAAATGTAAAATGTCATTCTTCAGAATGTGAACGTAAAGATTCCAGGGTTTTTTGCCTGTTTGGTTTTTGTGCCACGGGCTTTCTACTTGCATGCCCTCTTTCCTGTAACATTCTTTCTCCCTGGTCCTTTTCTACCAATGATCTTTTTTCAAAACCTAATCCCTTTGGCAGGAACTGTTTCCTTAACAACTTCCCCCTTCCTCTCCCTTAAGGCAATTAATGTTTCCCTTGGCACTATACAGCTGTTTAGTGTATAGACTACATTTTAGTTTTAATTTTTTCTTTTAAAAAGCTGAGCCTTGGGTGGCACCTGTGGCTCAAAGGAGTAAGGTGCCAGTCCCATATGCTGGAAGTGGCAGGTTCAAACCCAGCCCTGGCCAAAAACTGCAAAACAAACAAACAAAAAAGTTTAGCCTAGGGGGCAGCGCCTGTGGCTCAAAGGAGTAGGGCACTGGCCCCATATGCCAGAGGGGGCTGGTTTGAGCCCAGCCCTGGCCAAAAACTGCAAAAAAAAAAAAAAGCAAAAAAGCTGAGCCTAGGCTCGGCACCTATAGCTCAGCAGCTAGGGTCAGGGGACCAGAGCTAGCAGGTTTGAATCCAGCCCAGGCCTGCCAAACAAGGACAACTACAACCAAAAGATAAAAATAGCCAGGTGTTGTTGTGGCAGGTCCCTATAGTCCCAGCTACTTGTGAGGCTGAGGCAAAAGAATCACTTAAACCCAAGAGTTAGAGGTTGCTGTGAGCTCTGACGCCACTGCACTCTACTGAGGGTGACAAAGTGAGACTCCGTGTCAAAAAAAAAAAAAAAAAGCTGAGCCTAGATCTCTATTTAGTTTAAGTAATTTCTGTACTGCTTTTCAGTTATTGCTATGCTTAAACTCATACACAAATCCCTTTTTTTTTTTTTTTTTGACACAGAGCCTCAAACTATCCTTCTGGGTAGAGTGCAGTGTCATCACAGCTCACAGCCACCTCCAACTCCTGGGCTCAAGCGAGTCTCCTGCCTCTGCTTCCCATGTAGCTGGGACCACAGGCATCCACCACAACGCCCGGCTGTTTTTTGGTTGCAGCCGTCATTGTTGTTTTGGCGAGCACGGGCTGGATTCGAACCCGCCACCTTAGGTGTATGTGGCTGGCACCTTAGCCACTTGAGCCACAGGCGCCGAGCCCATAAATCTTTTGTCTATAACTTTTCCACTAGTTCTAGAAAATTCTTAGCCACTGTACCTTTGAATATTCCCTCTCATTCTATTCTGTTCTTCTGGAACTCTGGTTAGACAAATGCTGGGCCATCTCACTTTATCTCATGTTTCTTAGTATCTCATCTGACAGTACTTCTCTTGGCAGAGAGGAGAAGTTCTGTTTTTACTAACAGATCCTGGAAGAAGCTACATGTCCAAATTGGGAAAGAACTTATCCTCTCGGCAAGGCTGGCCTGGGCTCCTGGAAAGCTCTGCATGAAATCACAACTAACCAGGTTTTGTCAAAAAGAAATTTTAGTCAGAATATTCATATGAGGTCAAAGCAGGAGTACATGTACTGTCAGCCAGTCTCCAGGTCTCAGGCACCTTACAGACCTATGCAGTCTAGGCAGCAAAAGGACGAATTGTTGGGAGATTTACAAGTCCAATGGCAGTTTCACCAAGACTGTATACTCTTATTTGCTGAGATCAAACAGAGTATACAGTGGAAACTACCAGCACTGTGCCTACTAGCTGTGTGACCCTGAGGAGTCTACTCTCTTAGCCTCAATTTCCTCATCTATGAAATAGGGATAGTAAGGATAGCAGTTGTGAAGGAAACAAAGCAGATAAAGAGTTTAGCATGGTCAGAAGAACATTCTCCAGCTCCATCCATGTGAACATGAAGGATGTAAGGGAGTTTGGAGGGATTACTTCTGAGGTTTACCTTATAGGGGTACAGGTGAATCTTTCTAAGAGTAGAATGTGAATGTTTTAAAGCAATAACTGAGAAAATGACATGAAGGCTGTGTTGACCAGTTGATGGAAGTATTTCAGACTGCATGTGAAAACCCCACACTGTACCCCAGAAGTGCATTAATGTACATAGTTACCCTTTAAAAAAAAAAAAAAAAAAATTAATTTGTAATCTAAAAAAAAAAAAAAAAGAGTTTAGCATGGTGAATGACAGCACTGACTATGGCAAATGCTCATATCACAGATCTATTTGAAAGAATTTCTGAAACAGGTTCTTAAACTCACAGTCCCCTGACTCCATACTCATCTATCAAAGGGATGCTACAATAATCACTTCCTCTCCGCCAAGAGGACTGTCAGAAGAGATATTTTAGGCTGTGTGAAATATTGAAGGGTTTTCTTAATCCCCACCAAAACTTTAAATTACATTTACTATCATGACACTTGGGTGTAATAAAAGGGACTGGTGTTTTGAGGGTGAAGAGCTACTATCAGTAGTGTGTCCCCAGGCCAGGCCCCTAATCTCTCCGGAACTCAGTTCCCTCATTTCCAGTAGAGATATTATGTGCCTTCCTCCTACCTCAAAGAGTTCTGAGTTTCAGTGACAATGTATATGAAAAACATTCTTTTAAATTATAGGCTATTAGCCAATATTAACTATAATGTCATCTTGTTTTGTGACTCCAGGAACACTGGCACACTGAAATAAGAAAATGTGAGTCAGAAAAATGATTCGTATCCCCTGTCCCAACATTTCACTTCCACAGCAAATGCCTGACAGGAAGGGGAAAGGAGCCACTGTGTGATCACTTTTGGGAAATGTGTGACAGCCAGTCTCCCAGCCCTATCATTTCTCCCTCCACTAGTCTCCAAAACTCACTCCCCAAGCACCTTCATTGCCATCTTGAGCCTTCCAGGAGCCACCTAATATCTGCCCCACAGTGGGTAGTCAATATTTACTAAATTAAAGGCTAATTTAAATTGAATTTTCATCTCTTTCATGTATCTATACTTTGAATATGACATAGTTAAGAAAATTCAGGCATACAGTGTTAGAACCTAAAGACCGAGGTTTACCATGCTCAAATTTGGAGCCTACTACTATTTAGTTGTGTGACTCTGGACAAGTCATGTAAATAAGCTTCTAGGCCTCAATTTCCCATCTGTGGAATGGGGCTAACAGTAACTTCCACAAAGACATGGAGCCTGGCATATAGTCAGTAGTCATTAAATGAATAAATGTTTACATGTATTATTTGCAAATTATGGCGACTGTTAAAAAGTCAGCAATAAGCAAAGTGACCTTAGCCACTACCAAACGCAAACTTCAGACTCCATTTAGAACTGCTCATGAAAACCGGGAGAAAAAAGAATCACCTTTCAGAGGAAGCAATAAAGGAAATGAGATGTGATGGTGGAATATTAGAAACCAATGGAAATTCTTTTAATAGTCGAGTAGAATTGATGCCAAACATTTTAAACATCATGTAGGCCAGTTCATACGCCAGATCAAGCATTTGGTAGTATCTTGTTTTCAGTTTCACACAGAACTTCTCAGTTCGACAACTGACAGAACCGGTGTGGTGGGGAGACAGTAAGTGGATGATACTTCTGAGTATAAACTACTACTCTAGCACCACGCTACTTTATTCGTCACTTAATAGGAAATCTAACTGTTAGAGTAAAATTACATGTGTTTTGGGTTTCCTTTTAAAACTCTACCTTCTTCTAGGCATGATTCCAGTTTTTAATAGTGTAGTGCTGTGACACTGCCCATGTGGTTTCAAAAAACATTAATAGGATTAGCGTTAACATTTTCCTCTATTTTTGCTTACCTTATGAAAAATGCTCCCTTAGTTTACAGCTAATGTTAGTATTTTCAAAAGAAGAAATAATACTTAAAAAGTCTAGAATTACTAGAAAAGTCCTTAAAATGAAGTTAGACACATATTAATCAGACTTTCCTCCTCAGCTCAAGTGTTAATTAAGCAGGTTGCAACTCAATCACTTATGTACAGCAATCAGAATTCATTTCACACAAAGCGAGCATTAGATAGAATATAATAATACGGAAACCGGAAGCTTTCTTTTGAAGAGGAGCATTTGACTGTGTTTTTGCACCCACCACGTGTGAGGCATTAATTCAAAAGTTTAAGGACAATGACTCAGCTTGAAGGAAGGAGGGGTAATCTCCTCCTCATCATTTAAGGAAAAAAACTTTTCTTTTGACTAGGGGAGAGACTGAGATGGCTGAGAACATGCTCTCAAAAGTTCCAAAGACCTGGAGAGATGTGTCCAGGACGCCCATGAGTTATGCTGCTACATAAAAAAGCAATATTATCAGTTACATGGAGTTTAAGTAGCTGAGGCCACTAATCTCTCCTTTTGCTCACTCCACTTTTTCTGAAGGTGAGTGGATCAGGTTTGTTAGTTTTGTGAAAATCCATGAAGAAACACTGTTTTCCCTCTACCCATATCTCATTCTCAGAGGAACCACAGAGGCTGCTTTAGGACTGAGGTTTCTCTGTTGCCATGCACGAAACTGTTATGGGTGAAAAATTTCTCACTTTCTGGCTCTTTCTTCCCAACAGTAATAATAATACACCTGCTAAGGGATACTGTGGCTATTAATGTAATTTTTTGGCAAACAGACACTTGTCCATGTTTTGGTACATTAATGAGGGAGCCAGACACACATGCTGTGCTTGTAACACTTTCCGGCTTACTCGGACTGCTCATCCAGAACCTGTCGAAAACTAAGGAACAAAATCCTGTGTATAGTTTGAGGGGATTGTGGATGCCTTCGTAAGATTTTCATTTAACTACACCTGAATGCAAAGTTGACACAGTTAAAGACATACACGTTTACGGGAAGTGCATAAAACTTCCCAGACACTTAAAAAGGGTCCTTCCGAAATTCATTAACAAATTATTTAGCAATTCCATACAAGCCTACTAGTGTATTAACTACTTAATAAAATCTTAAGCACATACAAGAGAAAAACTGTGACCGTCTTTCCACGCTTTCCGGCCGCAGCCTTTCCGGCGCACTTCCAGGCGCCAGCCGTGTCTTCTACAAGGCGGTGCACGGCCGGCAGGTGCCGCGGGGCCAACGGACGCGGCCGGGCCGGCGAAACATACAGCTGCCGCTCACCCCCACGGCTCCCGCTCACCCCCACGGCTCCC